ACACTTGTGGAAAGCATAGCATAATGCATAGAGTTTTGGGATAACTGTGTTGTGCTAATGTAACATGCCTGTCAACTATACTGCTATTAAAAAAGAAGTGAGAGTAAACAAAAAAATGAAAGAAAAAAAAAGCCTATCCATGTCCTTTGTGCTAATGTAGTCATATATTATCAGTAACATACATTATGAATCCCACAGTAAAATGGTAATATCATTATCATCATGCTCCTTCTTAAGCAGTTAGATGTGTTTTAAAGAAATGGAAAGAAAGTAAAACAATAGACTTTTACCTAAATGTTTACCATTTCTGTTGTTCTTCATTTTCTACCCCCCTAGATCCAAGTTTAAATCCAGTCACTTCCTTTTGGCTTAAATAAATTCCATTAGCATTTATCATACTGAAAGTTGGTTGGTGAAAAATTCTCTTAGCTTTTGTGTGCCCGAATATGTTTTTGTTTTACTCTCATTTTTGAAGGATATTTTCACTGGATTTAGAATTTGGAGTTGACAGGTTGTTTTTGTTTTTATTTTTCCTTTTAGTACTTTAATTTTTTTTTTTTCAACGTTTATTTATTTTTGGGACAGAGAGAGACAGAGCATGAACAGGGGAGGGGCAGAGAGAGAGGGAGACACAGAATCGGAAACAGGCTCCAGGCTCCGAGCCATCAGCCCAGAGCCCGACGCGGGGCTCGAACTCACAGACCGCGAGATCGTGACCTGGCTGAAGTCGGACGCCTAACCGACTGCGCCACCCAGGCGCCCCAGTACTTTAATGATAGTGTTCAAGTGCTTTTTTTGGAACGCAGAAAGAGAATAAGGCTGGAAGGCCAAAGAGAAGTTTGTTGTCATTAGTACTCATGAGCATTTACGTGTCCCCTATATTTGTAATGTCTTTTCAAAGGCTGGCTACTTTTAAGATTTTGGGGGGTATATTTGTTTTGGCAGCTTTTCTGTGATGTATCTAGGGATTTCTGGGATGTATCTGTGACACTGTCTTTGGATTCAGCCTGCTGGCCGTTTGCTGAGCTCCCTGAATATGTAAGTTGACATTCCTCATCACTCTGAGAGAATATTCAGCCACTATTTTTTAAAATATTTTTTCCTGATCCATTTTCTTTCTCTTCTTCCTCCTGGGCCCCAACTGCATGCATCTTAGACCATCTGATTTTGTCCCACAGGTCTCTTCCTTAAAATGTTTTTTTTTTTTTTTTTTT